AGTGGTGGAGGAGACGGGGGGTTTATGATAAGAACCACACATGTATTGCCTCGATGTTTCCCAAGGTTAGGCGTGTGTATTTTGATATATGCCAGTATATATCATGCTTCATGTACATATAGTATGAGGATTCGTGCTACATCCATCCATCCATCCATCCATCCATTGGTTAAACATATACCTACCTACCCAAGTACATCATTTGGTTCGCATACTGTAGTCGAAGGAGACTTTTGGCAGTGTATGCGAAGTACAGGCCGAGTACCCAAGCAGGTCCTGGCTTGATGTATTACGTATCTATCTACTTCGAAGTCGATAGGTACTTTGTTCTGGCGTGGTCTTCGGCTGCAGAATAGTTGCACCGTTACGGGAAAGCATCATGATTAACGAACGATTAACGTCGTATACATGGCCTGACGGCCAGCCTCCTAAAAGACACCTGAAATATCAGAGATCTACTTACTTGTCTTGCAATGTAAGTGCTGTGGAGGAGGCTGGCCATGCTAACGGTATCTAGCGCTTGTGGCGGACTAGGCGATGCCGATTCTTGCCTGGTATCAGAACAAGCCTACGTAACTTGCAGCAGTAGACTTTGACACCACTTATCTAAATTTGGACCTTCGTAGTAGGTAGTAAGTAAGTGAGCAGTTATCGTGCGCAATTCAAGGTATTTTGCTGGTTCGAAGGGTGCACTCATATGTAGACCATGTGTGATGGAGGGAGGGGAGAGAGGCATGTCATTAATCATAAATTCCTCAAGGATTGCGGAAGCCAGTTGTGAGCAGTATCAACTGCATACTATTGCAAATTTGGTGATGACACTTCCATAGCATCTGCTCTGATCCTATTATTTGTAGAACCTCATGAGGCCACAATTTCAAGGCATAAGATGTTGTTATAGTTGCCCGCTCAAACACGGAGCCGTTAGTTAGTAACGGCTCATTGAAGCCACTGTGCGTAAATAATGTGACCGCACTGTATCTACGGGTGCACCTTTTGTCACTAGACGGGAGGCCAAGAAGCGAAGTATTTATCCCTCAATGGAAATGATGGGGCTCTATTACCATATTGCTAGCTCCTCCGCCACTACATGTACACTACACTAGCCTATCTATCTATCTACTTATTTTAGACGGAGCCGCGCGATCGAGACGACGAGTAAAGGAGGGCGAGGAGGGGTGGGAGGCTTTCAGCAACGGCTTGTCTTGTCTTGCATGGCTAGTGTTCGACGACGACTCATGAATTAGCCGACGCCTCTCCACCACAGCAACCGCTTTCATCGACCTACATCCTTGCTGTGCCGAGAATAAATAAGCTCAACATCTCCTCTCTCTAGCCTGATTTACCTAGACAGAGGCTAGAGGAGCATACTAGTGTACTGCATAGCAGGTATGTACTTAAGGACGACGCTAGGTTCTTTGCTGGGGCGGATCAAGAGGGGGGTGACTCCAGATCTATACTACATAGTATCTAGTGAGGTTGAGAGATGCTATATACATACACTATGACCAAGTTATCTAGCACGATATCACACCATGTACTTGTAGTGTAGATAAGGTGAAGCGAAGCACTACGTAAAGTAAAAGTAAAAGCTGGCGAAGTGAGCTAGTAGTTGGTAGGCAGTGCGTTATAAAACGCATGTACCTGAGCAGACTGAGCATATACGGACTTTTTTTATTTTTATTTTTTTCAGTTTTTAATAAGGCACACTACCCAAGGTAGGGACTAACTAGGTCTTATACAGAACAGACGTGACGTGACCGGGGCTGCACACCACCCTCCAACCACTCGATTCACAAATTCGGTAACATGGGAGAGAATCGTGCAGCGCGCAGACGCAGGTCCAGGAGGATGAGGTCAAGCGCACGCCGGAGTGACGCGCGCCAGGGTCCTCGAGAGTGGAAATGGGAAGATGAGATGGAGGGGCAGTGGATGCGAAGGGGGGGGGAACAGCTACACACACCACAACATACCTACCTATAATAAATACTGGGTATGGAGACGACAGGAATCAAGGTTCTACTGAATAGATGCGTCTAGACTAAACTTGTCCTCAAGTGGACTCCAAATGCGGTTGCGTATCGTATCCGATTTTGCCCACCTACTATGTATGTATGGTATGTTTGTAACCACGTTAGCTTATGACTACTTAGTAGTTACGGCCTTACCTATACATCGTATGTATGTACGTATGTATGTAGATTGGAGAAATAGAACCGAGTGCATACGTAGTGTAAGAATATGAGTCCGCTTAAGTTAACGTCATGAAGTATGAATGAAAACGTGCATGGAATTGAGTATCTTTCCTCGTGCCGCACAAAACAAGATTGATGAATATCTCATGCACTTCAGCGTCGTTACGTAGTATATTCGGCGTTCATATGCTCGTCTTTGCCGTACATGGCTCACGGTTTTCGTGACTTAGCTGTTATCGTCGGTTCTTACCACATAAATACCTAGCAGTTCCAGCTCCCTTGAACAGCGATATGACGACGACTACAACGAGATTGAAGGTATACTTACTGTAGTACAATGGACAGAGGTCAATAGATCGATGCTATCCCGTGCTCGTTCGATGCTAGGTTTGGGGGCTAATTCATATGGGGGCGGCTCTCGGTTAGTCTATATTGATTTGAGGTGGCAAGGTTCCATTTCCCCAAAACGCAGACGCCTCATTACTGTACCAGACTGTACCATGTCCCACCATAGCGTAAGGAATTAGGCGATTGGCGCGAGAAGGTCGGTCGATTCTCGATTCTCGATGAAAGTGGAGTGGTTGTCCTGCAAAACCGATGCGTCCTAGGGAACTACGTGTGTTAGTGGCTTGCGCTATCCGGCCGTCTGTACTTACTATGTGAAAAGGTAACGAGGTTAAGCTCTGTTCCGACGTTCAGATAGATACGAGCTCCGTCCCAAGTGAAGGACATGTATGTGCCACCTTGGAGGAACATCACATTTGACTCGTAACGACCAGCGGCCGCGTACGCGCTGGCCCACGCCACACAGCGCATCACATGAATCCCGACTATTATTTGGCGAGGTGAGATGTGGTAGGTAGGTGAAAGGTGAGTGGTGACTGTGTGTGGGGGAGGGCAGGGGTTAGCTCTGGGAGACGAATTGGCCAATCCCCTTGGTCCCCTCAGTAATTCCCATCTTCCGCACCACCGCATCCTCCACCATCACGAACTATGACATGGTGAGCCTCCGCTACGCAATAGCATTGGCTTCTTGGCTTAGACCTTGGGCCGAGCATGCCTGTTTCGGTCTGATCGCGTGAGGCACAATCGGAGACTCGTTTGTTCGCATTTCCAAGTCCTAAATCCTTCGGCTGAACCGTCTTCGCGTATCGGACAAGCTAGCGAGAATGTACGAGTCATTGGCTGCGATTCCGAATAACCTGCCGTTATGGAAAGGCCCTAAACGCGATGCCGAGCCTTGATAGGGATCTTGAATCCTGGGGTTGCATGGGAAGTTACATGGCAGACCCAAGAGGCATTCGCTGGTGCCCATTCTCTATATTTTCTGGTCCGGTTAGTCCAGATGAGGGAAGCCTATCCGTTTAGCCTGTCTCCACCCTAAGGGAAGGTATCGTCGTTGTGTTGTTCCCTTGGCTTCATTCCCCGTCATGACCACCCCGCACTGGTGGCTTCAAGCCTGCTGGCTCTTAGTTAGAGTGGTGGGCCGTGGCACCGACCGTTGGAGAAACTGGCCGATACAAGTTGATACGAATTGTGGCGTCCGACAGGTCAATATGGTCTATGATATGTGACAGTTGTTTCGTATATTATGCAAGAGGAGGCCATCATGGGCCATCGGACGTGCGTGCATGTCTACGTTACGGGCGTTGAGACACTTACCTACATATGCTATGACCGAGAGACACAGAACTGCGGAGAAGAGCAGCAAGCTGCAGCACCGGTATTTGGGTCTAATTATGCAAGTGATCCTGCGTTGGCGTTATGCTTTGTCGTACCGTTTGGGAGGTAAAGGGGGTGCCATGTCGCCCTGTGATAGGCTGGCTCGAGGTGAATGGTATAGAGGAGGGGCCTGGGAAGGCATAGCCCTACGAACTACGCTTATGCTTGAATACGTCTCGATTCGCCAAGTATGCAAGCAGCCTCTAGTCGTAAGTTTCACCTTTGTTAAGGGTCCTCGATTTCCCCTGGAGCTGGCGACCCCACGTCTCAGTAACATGAGAAGTAAGTAGGCAGGCATAGGTGTTGCTATAGGCCTTGCACTTTTACCACATCGATATCAGCATCATCCCCTTTGCTGTTGGCTGCTTTTACCACGTTGTGCAAAATGGCAGGATCTGGTGGCGCTGGGCGTAACCACAGATACTTGTTGAAAGGTATGTGAGGCCCCAACCCTCAATTAGCAAGGAAATTGCCCTCTCGTCAAGACACCCGACTGGGTCGGAATAACTCTTGTTTGTTTGCCGGAGAGATTACTGAAGGGTAAATGTTCCGATGACACCGCCTGTCGTGTAACGGAGGTGCATCATCATGACAGTATACCCCTAGAGACGTAAAAATTGATTTCGGTACAGCCTAGAGATATATGGCAAGTCTAGTAATTGAGCGCACTATGTGAGCGTCATGGTGGTAGCATGGCCAATATTGGTCTCGTCAACGGTGATAGCGGTAGTTTCTGACCTGCCGCAGGTTTGTATATGTGTCTCTTTAAATCTACAGGAGAGTCTGGGACATGCCACAGAGTCTTGATCTAGTGGCTCATTCGGCTTTCCTGAGCCTCTTTCATTAAAACATGGTTGCCCGCAATTACAGTTGTTGATCCAACCCATCGAACCGACAAGACCTGACACACCAAGCCAAGATGATGCTGAACTCCAAAATCCATCAATCCATCAAATCCCACAATAACCGATACTCAACGCCAAACCCATGTCAATTTCCGTTGAAGCAAAACGCTTTTTGTTTCCAAGACGAAGACCACACCATTCATCAGTCATGTTAGGCCCTAACCGCCCCAAAGTCCGTTGCCGACCGGATGGAACAACAGTATTATGTTCTGGGAATACGCTGGTGGTACCGCTCCTATTTAAGGAACCGAAAATTTTAAACCTATGCACTGGAGTAACAGAGCATTCATGAATCATAACTTCAGGTTTCATCGAATGCACACGAATTGATAAAGGTCGAGAGAAATTGAGGTTGGGCCTGAATAACCCAGCATATTACGTGAATCCAGCTACGACTGCAGTCGGTCGCATTTCTGCTTCCGAAACTGCAATGGCCTTCTTCTCAGACAATCCATGTGCTGCATGGCGCTGTTTATCGTTAATAATGCGGTCCAAATCATCGGGTCGTGGCTGCGGAGTCACGATACTATCGCTCTTGGGTGGATGCGGCACCATACGAGATGCATCGTTAGCATCACCGTCAGGCCGACTGCCCCAAGAGGTCTAGTGGAGAGTTAGTAAGCTGCACTCGCCTCGAGGAATAAATGGAAGTTCGACATACCATGTTGAGTGTGAATAGAGCCCAGAGCTTGATGAGACCATGGAACCAGCCAAAAAGAATGGATATGGGAAGGAATTTAATGTCGCTTGGTTGTCGTCGGAAGAGACCAACCAATTTGATAACTTTCGTGTATGCAAACAAGAAGATGATCTGTGCCCAGAACAGATTTCGGCGAGTGTCCATATGCCACCCCTCGGTTCCCCACCAAAGCGCGAGTGACAAAAGAGGGTCTACAATAAATGCAAGAGACGTGAAAGTGGCGATGTGCAGGGCGTAAGTGCACCACGGCTGTTGACTACGACATGGATATGGTCAGTAACCGATAATGAGTGGGGCAATGCTGGGAGAATAAATACTCACGTGAGAACGTATCGCTCACGAAACAGGCTGGTGTAGTTACTACGCCAGTTGCTACGTGACCATCTAGAACACTGGTAGAGAAATTTGTGGCTGTTCTCCAAGGTTGTTTCAATCTCGCACTCTGGCTCGTACTGTATCCAGGTCTTCCACTGGTGGTTGACAAGCCATCGAGTTACGAAGTTGTCGTCGTCGGCATTTAGCCCGTAACGACGCCAGCGCTCCGTTTGAAAACCCTCGAGGAAATCGTGGCTCGACAAGATTTCCGAGCGGTAGGCCCCGGTCCGACCGGACATGCAGGAGGTACCGCCGTCAATGTTGTGCGTTGCCGAGATTTCAAAATTGCGTCGCTCGATATAAGCCGCGCCCAGCCAGTTCCAGATTTGCGTGGACCAAGACCCATCTGGCTCTCTCCGTACTCGTTGGCAAGTCCCCACACCTCCCATCTTAGGGTCTTCGAAGGGAGCTAGGATCCAAGGTAGAAGCGTGGGTGGCCATGTGACATCGTCGTCGGCCATGACAGTGATGGCCGTGTTAACCTTTGGGAGAGCTTCGCAGACCTGGAGTCGCTTATTGGCAATTGGGGTGAAGAGCACGCGGACGTTTGGGGTAGAAAGACTCTTGGCAAGCTTCTTCAGCCCCTCATGCTTGTCTACGGTCGTAACCAGGATTAGCTCAGCGGGTCTACAAGCCAGGATGCTTTCTAGCGAGGCACGGAGCTCTTCAAAAACATTATGAATGGTGGGAATGATGACTGTGACATCGTCGGCAGTGAAGCTTGGTTTATCGGGTATGGGTTTTGACTTGTACAACCAATGACTAAAAGTGTGAACGATGAGGCGCAAATAGCGATGGACCCTGGCCAGTAGTCAGATATCACGTTCCGGGGTCTTGGACCAATGAGGAAGGCCAATTCAATGGCAGAACTTAGGACTTACCACAGCGCCCAGAAGGTGTACCACCAGAACTTAGGGGATGACAGAAGCTCGATATACGAGGAGAAAAATGCCTCAAGATTAGTGAAGAATGTCATCTTGTTTATAATTCGAGTTTTAATGGATTAGGAGCAACGAAAGGGTCTTAAGTGTCCTGTGGATGATACGTCCGACGGCGAAGTAAAGGGACGTGGGTATGGAGTACAACTGGGGTGATCTAGTACGTTGCTGATGTGACTTATCAAGAAAAAAAATGATAAGTCGGTGCTGGGAGTTGATATGTTGGGGTGCGGTATGGCCGAGTACGAGATCCGATCCGGGGACTGGTTGGTAGACGTTTTCATATAATAAGCCGTTCTACAAATGAGAAAAACCCGAGAACCGTTATGGTTGCGTGGAGTGGAGGAGGATGAGAGCCCGTCACTGGGATGGAAACTAGAAAAGCTGGAGAAGCTGGAATGGCTTCCTATATAGACTCTATCGCAGCAAGACAAGGGAAGAACCACGTTGAATGCCAGACGACCAAGCAATAAATGGCCGTGAGTAGATGAATAGAGGAATGTTGAGTAGACTATCGATTAGGTCACTGCCCAGAGCGAGTATTGATGATGGTATAGGATGTGTGACAAGTCCCCCCTAGAAGAAGGATGAGTCAAGGATACGACAGACAACAGCCAGTTGACGTTATTGCAACAATGGAGGACGTTTTGATTGGAGGTCGGCCGTGTTATCGAGACTCGAGCCTTTTTGCCGTGCAACCGAGAAAAGCCACAAGCGAGTGTCGAAGACGGAGCGCAGCAGAGGAATCGCAAAAGCTATTTATTACACGGTGTATCGCCGGCGCAAAGGATCAAAGAATGAAACGGTGTTGCAGAAGAAGCATGGACAGACACCAGACAACGGCACCAGCGAATAGCTCTTGGGGAGGGGAATGTAGAAACAATCGTCGACAGACAAGCTGGGGAGGAAGTTGTCGAGACATGTAGTAGATAAATATATGGCCTAGGCGTGTGGAGGAGGAGGAGGCAAGGATATATAGGCGGCAGATGGACCGACCCAGATACGACCCCATTCAGCCAACTGATGTTTGATATGACATACTGTACCTCTCTCTGTATGGGCAGAGACGAGGGGAGACGAGAGGAGACGAGAGCAGACGAGAGGGAGGTAGTAGTAGCAAGCAGGGAGGTCGCAAGTCGATCGAAAGAATTGTCACCTCCCCAAGCTACGACCCCGATCCGTCCACCACCTCGGACCGCCTAGTTTTGGAGGTAGACGAGATGATGGACATGGACGATGCATTGGAACCTGCCCTAGCGGAAAGGGTGGATATATGGGGAAAAGGGAAGGCTGTGTCTACGTGCGGCTAAGCTGCCCACATGTACCTACATACATATATGTAAAGTACTAAGAAAGTAGGCATGTATATATGTACTGGCCTGTATGTGGGAGATGCAGGAAAAGTAGGTACCCAATAGGTACCTACCGAGGCAGCTTGCAACCGACATCATGTTATCCATTCTGGATGTTTAATTAGTACTTGGTATAGTGTTGAAGGCCCAAGTAAATGCTAGGTAATTTACATATATATACCTAAGGTAGGTATGTAGGCATATATATAATGGGCATCCCATACATTCTTTAAGTATATAGTAAGTAGAAGGTATATATATTATACACATACATATATATATCTACGGTATGTAGGTAGGTGTGAATGTATTTGTCGAGACTGTAGCTCCGACTTGACTACTTCGGAGGTACTTGGTGGGTGTGTCTAGTTGAATATATACTTACATACATATATAGTAGGATCTCTCTACCTATCGTTGTTGAGGTCACTTCATTCTGTACCTCCTACCTCCTAGAGGTAGTAGGCTTTGAAATACAAGAAAAGGCTTGCGTCCAGTTGCCTGCCTGTGACAAGCAGTATCTACTAATGTATGTATGTAACATACCTACCTACTACTCTGTATGTATCCATCCCACTTTACATCCACATATATGCGTGCCATACATTCACCACCTTACATGATACTTAAGACTCACGCACATTGCATGCACACTTTGCCTACAGACAGACCTACATATCCTTACATATGGACCCATGTACTATGTAGGGCAAGCATTGCAATGCCTGTGGAGTTTTTTTTTGTGTTTTTTTCTGGGGTGGGGAGATGCAACTCGGACATGGGATACTGGTGCTGAGTGGTAACCGCAAACCTCCTTACTAGGTTACATACCTGCAGAGGTAGTTCTAACAGGGGGGGTGGGCTTCCTACTACTTACATGCCACTTATTGAGGTATGTAACGAGAGACGACAAGTACATACCAGGTCAGAGGTCAAGGGTCGATATGATGTAGGCACCTAGGTAGTAAAATGGAATACTATACTTACATACATGAGATATGCTCTGCCTGCTTACTTAGGTCGCTTCTTCCTTCGAAAGGCTCGAGTTGTACTCGGCCGACATACCTGTCGTGGACTGCATATACATGTCCCGGTATGTACGTATGTAGTCACGATACTACTGGTATGTAGATCTTGGTTTAATCTATCACTAGTAGTAGGTAGCTTGGTAACAGCAAGTCAGTCGCCTGCAGATAACATGGATTCAGTCAGGAAGTATCTAGTGCATCTCCATACCGATAGGCACGGGCACGGAACAGACAAATCGACACGGTTCGGGTGCTTCAGGCTTGCCTGTCTCCAGGCTCGGAGCCATTCAACCGATTCGGTCGGTAACTTAGAGCATACTTACTTACATACATAGGAGGTAACTTAACTAGGCACTACTGTAGGTAGGTAGGAAGGAATATTTGGTATAATAAACAAGGCAACAACACCGAACCTGCGCGGCTGGGCTAGACTGAGCAAGCATGAATCACATCACGTCCATCGACGAGAAAGAAGCCACTGGACTGACTGGTTGTGACTCTGGTTGATTAAGCGCTGGGCTGAGGTACCAGGTGCCTACCTAAGTACTTACTCGCCTAGGTAGGCAGTTGGAGGGGTTACTTAGTTGTTAGTTGGAGGGGCAGGAAAGCGATATGCCTATCAGCTATCAGGGAAAAAGGAGCTCGCTCTAGCCCACCTAGCCTACAGTGTGGGCTGGCCGTTGGCGACAGCGGAAGGCTGGTTGGTTATCTGTTACGCACTATCGGCCACTAAGGGCAGAGCTACCGTGCCTACTTCAGAGTCTAGGAGCATTTTGCATGGGGATCTGATGGGGCCTTGGGGGCCTTGGGGGCGAATCTAGCGCTGTAGGTGCACTAACAATACCTAGCCTCCACCACCTGCTGCACTGGTATCCTGTTATGTATTCACTTACAGTACGCTGCGCCCGGCTAGCCTGCACTAACGTAACAAACTTGCCAGAGGCCAGAAGCGCGCCGCATTCAATGGATATAACCCGAGTTGGCGACAAGGGCGAAGCGGCATCTGCCCAAGGCAAGTAGGCCTAGGTACTCTACTTAAGTGAAGTATGCCAGAATGCTAAATCATGTCGATATTATAGGTTACCTGGGAATAGCCAACCATCCATTAGGTAACGGAGCAGAAAAGCTCCTCGTCTAGTCAAGGAAGAACCGAAAGCCAAGAGAAAAGGAACCAAGGCACTGTGCGGTTGTTACGCTCGGGCATCTTCGTTATGTAACCATAGTATATGCCCTTACATTCCTCAGCGCTGACAGTACCTATTCGCTGTTACCAGATTGCAGTTGCCCATGACATTCCCATCAAGAAACCCTGCCTCTTACCATCCGGTGTACCGGCTCTTGTCATCCTCAAAGAAGGGCTAGAACTGGCGGATATGTTGTTTCAAGGCACATATTACCAGGTTGGCAAGTAGCCGTGTGTGGAAAGAGTCGATCATAACAGATCATAACGGGCCGTCCGCTGCAGGCAATCTGTCATTTTGATATTCCAATTTTGCCACAAATTACCTACCTGTTGGAGTTTACTACTGTAGAGTAGTCCGGCGATCACGCGAGCAAACCGTCGTCTGATAAAGTCAGTATAGGACGGAAAGATCCGACGTGGGCAAGCAACCAGAGTTAACCAACCGGCTTCGGGCAACCTAGAGACAGTGTACGGACATACATGTATTATGATATATACGTATCAACCAGGTATCTGCATATGGTGAGCCTTTGTTGGTAACACGTATTTCTAACAGAAGCTCATACTTACTATCTTCCTCCGAGTTTAGGCCGCTCTCCTTAACCTAGTAAGTTATTGCTGTATGTACAGCGATCTGAGCAAAAAGATCGGACGTTCGGCGCAAGGCTAATTTGGCCACAACCCTCTCTCTACCCTACCTACTTACTACTTGCTGTAACCTACTTACGGTAGGGTACCGAGTACTGCATAGTGATGGTGCTAATATACTTACTTACTTAAGGGTTCAACTGCATCTTAGTGGGGCTTTTCTGTTTTAGCTAGTGCAATGTAGGTTAAGAGAACACCAACAACAAAGTCTAACTGCTCAAGTATGTATGTAACCTGGAACCGAGACCGGGTTATTCGGGCCATTTTTCGCATCGATTCCGTCGTTCAACAACGATTCGTCGCCTGGATGCCCTGTGGAAATCGCCCGGTAGATTGAGTAGGCAGTGGGCAGTATAGTAAAAGCCGTGGCATGTGAAAATCGGCCGTCCTTGTTTCTGCGGTTACTTCGCAACTTCGGTTGAGGCGAATCAAATATAACCAGCTACCTAGTGGGTTCCGTGGTTGGTTTGGACTTACTCCGATTAGCTGCAGAAAAGTCATGGAGCTTTTACTGTAGTTATCCCCGCACCGAGTAAAGTCTACATGTGAAGTCTTTGCAGTGTTTGTTTGCTAACCTTACCCCGGGCCTGTTTCTTCTTCTTTCCATTTTCCTCATGTCTCGCCTTCCTTTACCAGGTCAGTTGTCCCAGGCCCGTGGCACGCACGACCAGGGGGAGGAAGGTGGGGGAATAGAGGAGCTCCCTGTTTTGAAAATTGACCGTTTCCAACTATCGCTCCATACCTACGTGGGCCTCATCCCAGGATACATCTTGACGGTGCTGAGAAAAATAGCTCATCAACCCAGATGTTATGTTCACTATAAGAGCAACCGTATGATAAATGCACACTGTTCAGAACTCTCTTCGAAGGGTTGTGAGAGTGACGCAACACTAGAGTAAGGGCTGCGTTGCAAAGGCGCATTGGCGGCTATGGAGCCTGCTATAATTGTTAACTTTGAAACGCATAAGGTGTGGCCGTTTTCAGCTCATATTGGGGCCCACCGATATCGAGTTCGGTTGATCGAGTAATTGGTAGATTATTGCTCCTGTAGATACCCAGGCAGAGGCGAGGCGAGACACGTAGCCATGACGGCATTTGCCA